ATAACTGGATGTGGTTCTCAGATCCAGGATCAGCTTATTGACGGGTGGAGGGAGTGTTCACTGTGACTGCTGATGACCAGAGAGACCAGGCTGGAGCGCACCACCACATCTACCATGTCCCTTAGACCTGGACAACACACACAGGGAGGGGTCACGACACACACACACACACACACACACACACACACACACACACACACACACACACACACACACACACACACACACACACACACACACACACACACACACACACACACACACACACACACACACACACACACACACACACACACACACACACACACACACACACACACACACACACAGGGTAGGGGTCACACAGATATTAGACATGTCTATGAACATAGAACAGAACAAGACGTTTTTAATGCGTTGATTTGAATATATTACGTCTGAGATAGCAAAGCCTGTCACTAGTACCTGTATGTCTGTTTTCTGTATCACACTAAGAGCTAATAGAAACAACTGGTCAGGCACTTCACTCTCCGACTCAGGTTCAGACTTCAACACAGTCAGAGCAAACTCCACCTTCCCTGAAGGAAGAAGATCAACACTGTATTACATTTACAATGCACTCCATACTTTTTGGGTGAGATTGAATGTCCTGCTGCCAACCATCACAGAGAGTGACTTTATGGTGCGTCCCAAATGGCACTCAATTTCCTTCATAGTGCACTACTTTTGAACAGAGCCCTATAGGACTATGAAGGGAACAGGGTGCCATTTGGGACGCAGCCTATGTGTACCTTCAGTGGAAGGTAGGGGGATGGTGTTGGAGCGGCCCGTCAGACAGGCTAGTGGTTCGTGGCTCTGGGTGTGCAGCCAACCCAGGAAGGCAGTCAATCTCCACCTCACGCTCTGCTGCAGGCTAGGAGGACATCAGGACAGGGGTCAAACAGCAACACGGCATTCAATACAACCAGCTGCCAAACTCATTCCACGGAGGGCCAAGTGTCTGCGGGTTTTCGCTCCTCCCTTGTACTTGATTGATGAATTAAGGTCACTAATTAGTAAATAACTCTTTTTTATTTTTTAAAGCAACGTATAGTTAAATAAAGGTAAAATAAAATAAAAATAAATAAGGGAGTTATACTCCAGTCTAGTAGGTGGCGGTAATGCAACATTTATTGGATGCCAACCGCCGTTAAACCTCATCGAAGAAGAAGATTTGCTCCTCACGACCAAATTATAGAGAAGGAAGGAGACCTAAAGCAGTTACGGTAGGAATATCGTTTCCTTCAGCGAAATTCTGTATACATGCTCAATCTTTGGCTAACTAGTTAGCTTGGTCGCCAGTGTGTAATTTCTTGTTTTGTATTTATTTATCTTACCCTCATGCTATATTGCCTCTGCAGGTGTACACAATCAACTTGGAGTCTCGTCGGGGTGATGACAGAACTGATCCAGCTCTCTGCGCAGTCCGGGTTGTGGAGGAGTACAGGGCGCTGGATGAGTACCTTGCAGAGGAATTCACAGAGGTCTACCTCATCAAGTTCCAGAAACTCACCAGTGCAAGATCAGGACAGGTTCCATCCAGTTGATCATGATGAATGATACATAACTAGGGCTGGGAGTTTTCCCAGTGACCATGTAACCTGACTGTTGTGTTCAGTAACGTGGGGTTTTAGCTCAGTTGAGTATTGAATGCTGTTGCTTTAAGAATGTGCATTTGTAACACTGACCAGGAAAAACCTCCAGGCCCTAGTTTATAGTAACTAACTACTAGGCCCTTGGTATTACTAGGCTCTAATAGATATACAGGACTGTCATATCTGCGAACAGAGAGAGTGGCTGAGTGAGTGGCCACCTCACTCAGCCAGTTATACTTTGATGTCATTCTGTTTCACGGCAGCCAAACAGCATATGAATGAGAAGTGTTTCTTTGGAGATGTACTACATGTGTGCTATGCCCCTGAGTATGAGACAGTGGAGGACACCAGATTAAAGCTGCAAGACAGGAGACGACAATATGTGAACAGGACGACTCAAAATAAAGGGACAGATGCTGTGTTAGTAGATCATTAACAACATAAGCATGATTATTGTGATGTAGTTAGTTGACACATTATTCTCTATTCTTCTTTTTCGGTTGTGAAGCAAAAGAACAGGACCAGGGGGATGAAGAGTTCAAAAGGCCCATGTCTTCAGATACAGTTGCTACCTCAGCCAGGACTTCCTCAGGTGATGATCAGAGATCCAGTGATACCAGCAATAAGGAAGAGACTTTGAGTACCAGCCATGGTCATTATTTAGGGTTTCCCTTATTGCCTTTACCCTCACAGGAGTTTCCTCCTTACAGACATGCCCCATCTTATGATCGGTCTTATAGTTATCAGGCAAACCAATGCAGGACTATTCCAACAGAGGACAAAATGGGTTAATTGCATAATGCCACAGAAAATGAACAGCAGCAGGCACTCAACGTAAGTGGCGTTCCCTCCTCCTCTGGGGGAGACAGAGGGATGGTGAAAAGACTCAGTAAGAATCCACCCCCTGCAGTACATTTTAGTCATTTAGTAGACGCTCTTATCCAGAGCGACTTACAGTTAGTGAGTGCATACATTTTTTATTTTTTATTATTTTATCATACTGGCCCCCCGTGGGAATCAAACCCACAACCCTGGCGTTGCAAACGCCATGTTCTACCAACTGAGCTACATCCCTGCCGGCCATTCCCTCCCCTACCCTGGACGATGCTGGGCCAATTGTGCGCCGCCCCATGGGTCTCCCGGTCGCGGCCGGCTACGACAGAGCCTGGAATCGAACCAGGATCTCTAGTGGCACAGCTAGCACTGCGATGCAGTGCCTTAGACCACTGCGCCACTCGAGTACCACCCAGATTCGTACCAAGGACCACACATTTGGAACATAAACAGAAAACTGAAAATGGTAGAAACAAGTAAAGATTCACTTTTTGGCATCGTGGACAAAAATGAAACCCTCATTGGAACAAACTACCAGAGTAGCCTAAGATGGATATGGCGGATGAGTCGTTGAACACAGCAGCCAACATGATCAGAAATACATTGAAAAAGGTATATCGTGGTCATTTGCTTCCTAAAATTGGTCACTCACAGTCACAACTTCATACAGTATTACAATTCAAGTGTGAGTGATACTGCAGTAAATTAATTAATTTCCTTGTTCTCAGGTAGAATCAGTTGCTGAAGTCAAGCCAACAGAGAAGAAGACAAAGCCAGGAAAGCCTCGGAGGAGAATCTAACAGCATCACACACAAGATAACACGTACATTTCATCAAGGTCCTAGACTTTACACCAATCAGACGGTACTTAATCTTACATTTCCCATTAGAGTATGAGCAGTTTTTGATATATTGATATATATATATATATATATACAGTGAGGGAAAAAAGTATTTGATCCCCTGCTGATTTTGTACGTTTGCCCATTGACAAATAAATGATCAGTCTATAATTTTAATGGTAGGTTTATTTGAACAGTGAGAGACAGAATAACAACAACAAAATCCAGAAAAACGCATGTCAAAAATGTTATAAATTGATTTGCATTTTAAAGAGGGAAATAAGTATTTGACCCCCTTCTCAATCAGAAAGATTTCTGGCTCCCAGGTGTCTTTTATACAGGTAACGAGCTGAGATTAGGAGCACATTCTTAAAGGGAGTGCTCCTAATCTCAGTTTGTTACCTGTATAAAAGACACCTGTCCACAGAAGCAATCAATCAATCAGATTCCAAACTCTCCACCATGGCCAAGACCAAAGAGCTCTCCAAGGATGTCAGGGACAAGATTGTAGACCTACACAAGGCTGGAATGGGCTACAAGACCATCGCCAAGCAGCTTGGTGAGAAGGTGACAACAGTTGGTGCGATTATTCGCAACTGGAAGAAACACAAAAGAACTGTCAATCTCCAACGGCCTGGGGCTCCATGCAAGATCTCACCTCGTGGAGTTGCAATGATCATGAGAACTGTGAGGAATCAGCCAAGAACTACACGGGAGGATCTTGTCAATGATCTCAAGGCAGGTGGACGGGGCCATGTACCGTCAAATCTTGGGTGAGAACCTCCTTCCCTCAGCCAGGGCATTGAAAATGGGTTGTGGATGGGTATTCCAGCATGACAATGACCCAAAACACACGGCCAAGGCAACAAAGGAGTGGCTCAAGAAGAAGCACATTAAGGTCCTGGAGTGGCCTAGCCAGTCTCCAGACCTTAATCCCATAGAATATCTGTGGAGGGAGCTGAAGGTTCGAGTTGCCAAACATCAGCCTCGAAACCTTAATGACTTGGAGAAGATCTGCAAAGAGGAGTGGGACAAAATCCCTCCTGAGATGTGGGCAAACCTGGTGGCCAACTACAAGAAACGTCTGACCTCTGTGATTGCCAACAAGGGTTTTGCCGCCAAGTACTAAGTCATGTTTTGCAGAGGGGTCAAATACTTATTTCTCTCATTAAAATGCAAATCAATGTATAACATTTTTGACATGCGTTTTTCAGTATTTTTTTATTTATTTTTTGTTCAAATAAACCTACCATTAAAATTATAGACTGATCATTTCTTTATCAGTGGGCAAACATACAAAATCAGCAGGGGATCAAAAACGTATTTCCCTCACTGTATATATATATCAGTGTCATGAAAATGAATAAAGTAGTTGTGTCCTTAACACTCAAGTGTATCCTGGAATGCATGCTGCTCAAATGCCAATATGCTCTGTAACACAAAATAAATAAAAACATGTCAGACAAAGGGTAAATATTGTCCAATCCAGACAGACAAGTCATTACACTGTGTTTATAGTCTTAACTTCAATGCTCACCTTGGCATCGGGAAGGCAGGTTCCAAAAGCCTCAAGCAATAGATTCTCATCTCTCACTGCCTTTTCAAAGTCTGCATAGGACAGTCTGCTGTCGTGGTGGAAACAACTCATTGGTCTTTTATGTTCACACAGTATATTTAATCTGAAGCATGAATTAGTCAATTGTGACTTGAGTTAAATAGGGATTGTAAACACAGGGTACAATGAAGGTACCATTTTTGTAATTACCATCTTCTTGAGTGTGATCTCCACCAGGTCTTTGATGCCCTCGTCTGGGTCCTCCTCTGTGGGCTGTCTGATCAGGCTGTTCTTCAGCATGTGGAACATCTCTTCCTGGGAAATGTACCCATCTCCATTCAAGTCATACACATCGAAGCAGTCTAAACGGGTCAAAGTGTCAGTATGGATAGTTAATAAAGTAGATAATGGTCAAATAGCCTACATTTAAGTCATTTAGCAGACGCTCTTATCCAGAGCGACTTACAGTTAGTGGGTGCATACATTTTTTTTTTCATACTGCCCCCCCCCCGTGGGAATCGAACCCACAACCCTGGCGTTACAAGCGCCATGCTCTACCAACTGAGCTACATGGGGTACAAGCCTTAATAATACACTTTAAATCTTTCTTACACTTAATTTTTTCATCCAATGTCCCACGGAGAAAGATTGATAGTCCCTCGATCCACTCTTTCACACTGACGTAGCTGTCGTTGTCTTTGTCGAATGCACGAAAGACTAGAATATAAATGCAACACAAGAGTCAAGATTCTTAACAATACCCCACCACAGTATGTCATCAGTATCATCATCTTTTTGGTTTATTCTGTTTCATGTGACATGCAGAAATGTAACAAAAGAAACAAGCCTACCTCTATCCATGATCATATCATCAGTCATTCCAAAGGTGTTGTGTAGAATATTCCAGACCATTCCCTACCCTCCTGTCACTCTGATCCCCCAGGAGACCATTGAACAGTTGGATCAGACACACTGCTTCTGTTTTGTTAACTGCAGTTAAAAATAGTATTTGTACTCCTCCCATATGCATAATTACATTTGCATAGATAGACTGATGTAGGATTTGATGAACTTGCTAAACACACAGCAGAGAATAGAACACAGAACAAACTTTGACACATGATCCCAACAAAGCAAGGTTATAGCGCCTCCCATGTTTCATAAAAAAGCAGTGCTGCCACGTTCAATGGATCGGGAAGCACAGTTTTGGTTGGAGGAGCTAGCAAGACAAATAGCTAACTAGCTATAACCTTTTTTAGTTTTCAAGTTTTGTTAATAGCTATATGGCTACTGTATCTAGATAACTGCAGAATTAGCAACTAGTTAGTTAACGTTAGCATGTATTGTTGGAAGTTCAGCTAACGTTAGCATGAGTTCAGCTAACGTTAGATAGCTAGCTAACTAGTCAGGACATAAACTTTGACTATTTCTGCCACAACTATCCAAACGGATACTTACAGTGTTTTACTTGTTTAGAAAGAGTTTCAGCGAGATTCTGAATCAATTTTCTATTTATAGCAGCCATTTCAGCCATTGATAGTATGCAGGATTGCTGGCTAGTTAGCTAGCAGTGGCTACATGAAAACACAACTACTTGATGTTGACACCCTGTTACCATAGTAGCTCCAATCCACGTGCTCACATAGTGAGGAGCAAGAATGATACAATATTTAGCCAGTAGAGATTGATACAATGAATGATACATTGAATACTCAACAAAGAAAACTTTTTTTCTTGGAATTTCATTTATTTTAAGTGTATTGATCTGTCTTTTATACAATGAATGAGTGGGTGGCATGATTCAACATTCTTGTATTCCTCAGTGCAAGGTTAACATTGAATGTAATACCATGGCATTGTTGAACGCTCGTTTCTGATTGGCTTGAAGGGCATTCTAGAGAGTGCATTATTTCCCTATAAAGCATGGTATATCTGCAGGGTAGAATTCAATGGTCCTCTGTAGCTCAATTGGTAGAGCATGGCACTTGTAATGCCAGGGTAGTGGGTTCGATCCCCGGGACCACCCATACGTAAAAATGTATGCGCACATGACTGTAAGTCGCTTTGGATAAAAGCGTCTGCTAAATGGCATATTATTATTAATGGCTATAGTTAATTCTTACATGTTCTATGTGTGAGTTGCTTTTGAAAGCAAAAGTAGAATTGAAAGCATTGTGGAATTTTCATAATAGCATGCTAGGCCTGATGGTTTGGTAAGCTAAACTAGCAAATCTGTTTGTTCAATCCAATACCAGTAAAGTGACAACATTATAATTAATAAGAAATCTTGTCAGTCCTGCTTAGCATCATCCCTCAGACCTGAAGGAATCTGAGAGTACCATTTCCTGCACTTGTATGAGGTTGGGTCACAGGTATATCCATATTCACAGCAATGCTGGCCATCGGCGCAGCACTTGCCCTAAAAATAAGAAATAGGTCTCAGAACATGATAGTAATATAAAATCTGCATAATATTGCACATGATCATAATGTCATTAAAACATGTCACACTGCTCTGTACATGCATTACAGATTACATGTTCATTACATTAATAAACATGCTCTACCTCCATAACAACATTGATACTACTACTTTATAAAATGATAGCTCAGTGGTATTTAAGGTCAGTTTTATCAAATCCCCTCTACAGCCTGTCTCCAACAGTTTCAGTATATTTACCAGTGGGTATGGGCAGCAGCCCCATTTGCCAGTTGGTCCCTTGCAGCAGCTGGTTCCAGAAGGGCAGTAGAATTGAGTGTCACAGCGAATGACTCCAGCCTGTGGGGTGCTGTCAGAGGCCTGAGCGAGTGCTGTCCCCGGGACCTGATAAAATAACAGAAAACCACACCATCAATGTCATACTCTTAGGTTAAAATGTAATTGCGTACCAGTGCGCAGGAAATATTTCTCTATTCATTACTTTTTAATTTACAGAAAGAGAACAGTGCCCACTGACATGGATTTTTATTTTATTTTATGTAGAAAGGGTATGCTTGTCACCAGCAATGCTGTTTCATACATGGTGATTTTGCATAATAGCTGTCACATTGCACCTTGCCGACCATAGAGCTCTCTACTGCTTTGCTTTGGACACGGCTGCTGTCAGACTCGAGCGGAGCAGAGACAGGGGTGCTTGGTTCCTCTGCAGCCACCTTCTTCAGTGTGGGAACCCTGCTCCAAGGATGGTCCCCTTTCTCACACATCTGGGTGATTGTGTTGCAGAGGAAGCCTGATGGGCAACAGTGGGCCATGTCAGAGCAACACACCGCCTGGAAAACGTAATAAAAAAGTTATATGGCTTGCAGTCAAAATACCTTTTATGGGGTCTTTGCTCGCACAGCTCTCTAAACCCAAGGTATTTTAACTAAAACATTGGATGTGTCATGCAACGGGGAAGCAAACAACAGTACCACAATGCTGGTTTCTTTTTCCCGTCTTTACAACCGTTGTGCTGTTGAGAATCCCATTTACTAGTTGTGTCAAATTGCCTAGCCTGGTTCCAGATCTGTTTGTGCTGCCAACTACTATGGTTGTTGGCATGACAAACAGATCTGGGACCAGGCTACCAATTGCCCTCATGTGAACCCTGGTTACTCACATGGGGAACTGGACAGCAGGCGTATCCTTCGTTAGTCAAACAGCAGGTTGATTGATCAGAGCAGACCTTCCCATCAGGGCAGGTGACGTAGCAAGAGGCAGGCCCTGTCAGCACTAACACCAATGCAGCTATGCTCCACATCTAAAGGATAGAGAATAAACAAGGAGTTTAGAGGCTTTTTGGAGTAGGTTGAGTTCTAAATGTATTTTATGAAGATGTTTTAAAATAGTGCATAATCTAAGATGTTAACTTGATCATTACACGCTAGGGGAATTTCCAACAATATATCTTACTGTATATGATTGAAAGGAAGCTGACATACAGTCACAGCACTAAATTGAAGTGTCTTGGTTCACTTTCAGTTTCAAATACATCTAAATTCAGATTACTTATACTTTGACTATGATTAGAAAAATGTAATGAATTTGTTGTTTACTAATTCTTCTTAGTTTGTGACAGAGTGATTTCTAATTTCATCGTTTAATATGAAATTAATTCTCCTTTTTAAAATCTCACGTACCTTAGCCCTGTAGTTGGTCTCAGCTCAGGGATTCAAACACTTCCTGTCATGGGGCACAATGGGGTGACAGCCTCTTTAACCAAAACGCTGCTCTTTATACACTAGGTTTGATACTCCCACTTTTAATAATGAGGAAGTAACTTTATCTCATGTCCTCATAAACAGAAACTTAGGTCAATGACGACTCCAGAAGTAGTTTGCTGTATATAACCATGTCCAATAGCACCAGTTGGCTTTATAGACCCTTTGTTAATCATTATGTGAGTCTGTATGTACATCAATACAATGATCATGATGCCTTACAGCTCAAACTTCATAAAGGACTTAAATAGGCCTTCCTCTTTAGTCTTTGATACCAATCTTTCCCATGACACATTCTTCACTCCTCACTGACCCCTCAACGGTTTTCATCATAACACTTGTTTTATAGGTCTAGGAGTTATTTCAACAACTATTAATCATATTCAGAGAAATTTGGAATATAGGGAAGGAAAGAGTGGGTAATTACATATTGTTAGAAGGTACCACATTATTGTTATCAAGGCTGTCTTTACTGGGGTTGATTCCCCCGTGTGACCTTAGGTCAGTCACACTGACCATGATAAGGTTACTTGAGGACTGCTGTGTTAAACTATTTACATTTAGTATTGTGTTGCAAACTACTGATAAGTATGCAGTCAGTTTTAGGGAAACTGGGTGTAACCATGAGGAATTTAAGGATTAAGGATGCCTGCATATGTTTCGTTTAAAGGGGCAATCTGCAGTTGCTACATCCATTTTTGGACTTATAAGTTAATGATATATAATGATATTTAGATTCTTGAAGAATATAACATAAATGCCTCATGAGATTAGTTCAACTGTCACAACCCATCAGAACCATATCAGCTTGTTTTACTTAATGTAAACAAACACAGCATAGCCTCAAAACGTTAATTTGATATCATGGATGGTCAGTCCTTGCATCCAAAGAATTTGAGCGGTTACATTTCTCCAGGCCTATCCCTCAGCCTTTCACCAAAATAGAGGCTGGGCTACTTTATTGTTTCAAATGCGGATTAGCTCTTTAATGTCCATCCCCCTGAGTTTTAGTGACTTCTCCATTCCACAATTGTTACAGTGCCTTCAGAATTCAAAATGGCTTAAATTGGGGTCATTTCTCACCCATTGTTACGAACCCCGTGGCTTTAAACATCTAGGGTGGATGGACATGAGACCCGTAACATAATTCATGCAAATTATAAGCGTGACATGGAACAGTGAGAAATAAAACTACACGACAACCATAAACTACTGTCAAACATAAAAGGTTTATTGTTGAACACACCATAAAGGTTTGGGAAAAAGGGCTGAGCAGCACCCAAGAAATGAAACAATAGTGTAAAACACCCCTAAACTGATCTTGCCTGCCTCAAGAACCGCTAAGCTACTGCTAATCATACAAAAATACAGTGGGTGGTCCGCTCAGGTCTAACTAGTGTTTATAGACAGTTTTCTTTCTACGGGTAATGTATGCCCAAGGGCAGCTTGCTTAACTTCCCCTTTTCCCAGAAACACACAAAGTTACCAAACAGAGTAACCAGCAAATTAGTGAGTACACAAAACACCACAGTATCCATACTCACATACGGAAAATAGTATTCTAACAACAAACACAACTGACCGGCTTTTAAACAATGGGATGTGTGATTGAAAAACCAGCAACAGGTGGTGCAATGCAGAGGAATGTTCACTGATTGGTCCACCTTAGCAATCAGCAGACACCCTAACGACCACCAATCAGGAACATACAGGACACTGTGATTAGGGCAGAAGGAGAGGAAAAACACAAAAGACACAGGATACCTGTATCCGTAACACTCCCACCCTTAAAAGAGCAAACCACAATGGTTTGCGACACACGTACCATCACAACACCCAAAATTCAAAGATCATCCTGACAGGATAACAAAAAAAAACCTAGATCATTAAACACGAGACAAAGCATCTGCCAACACATTATCCAACCCCTTTTTGTGGCGGATCTCCAAATTATAATTTTGCACGACAAGTGCCCAACGCATAAGGCGTTGGTTCTGGTTGTACATCCAGTGGAGAAAAACTAAGGGGTTATGGTCAGTATACACTATCACTGGTAATGCACTGGAACCAACATAAACTTCAAAGTACTGCAGAGCTAACAACAAAGCTAGAGCTTCTTGTTCAATGGTGGAATAGTTTGTCTGACATTTGTTAAATTTCCGTGAAAAATAACAGACAGGATGGTCCACTCCACTCTGGTCCTGCTGTAGTAGAACAGCACCAGCACCTCTGGCACTTGCATCTACCTCCAGTTTAAACGGTCGTTCAAAATCTGGCGCAGCAAGAAAAGGAGTACTACATAAGAGTGCTTTAGCAGTGTTGAAAGCAGTACGACAATCTTCAGACCATACAAATTTTCTCGCCGGACTGAGCAAATCCGTTAATGGAGCAACTACCGCAGAGAAATTTTTACAGAAACTACAGTAGTAGCCAACCATCCCTAAAAAGCGGCGTAGCTCTCTTCTGGTGGTAGGTGCGGGAAATGCATTTATAGCTGAGACCTTGGCATCTAGAGGGCGCACCTGACCATGGCCGACCTGTTTACCAAGATAAGTATCAGTGGCCTTCCCAAACTCGCACTTTGCTAAGTTCAGGGTTAGAGAAGCGGCTGCTAGACGTTCACACACTACCCTTAGAGTGTTAACATGATCAGACCACTCAGTGGAATAAATTACCAGATCATCAAGGTAAGCACTACAATTAGGAACTCCAGCCAATACTGTGTTAACCAGGCGTTGGAAAGTGGCTGGTGCGTTCCGCATCCCAAATGCCATGACAGCATATTGTAGGAAGTGATCTGGGGTCACAAAGGCAGAGATGTCGGAGGCACGTGAGGTTAACGGCACCTGCCAGTAACCTTTTAGAAGATCTAGTTTGGTTACATAAGTAGCAGCACCAACAGTATCAATACAGTCATCCAGTCTGGGTAACGGGAACGAGTCGGGCACTGTGACAGCATTTACCTTCCGATAGTCCGTACATAACCTGGATGTCCCATCAGGTTTAGGAACCAGAATACACGGAGAACTCCAAGGACTTGAACTTGGCATAGCCAGGTTATTCTCTAGCAAATAACCGACCTCATCCCTCATTATCTTTCTTTTAGAGACGTTGACACGATAAGCATGTTGCTTGATAGGTGCAGCGTTTCCAACATTAATGTCATGTTCTAACACATTTGTGCATGTAGGAACATCATTAAAAAGACATGGAAAGCTGTGTAATGGTCTCACAATATCATCTGACTGTCCGTCCGTTAAATGAATCAGGCTTGACGGGAGAGACAGCAGCATCTCTGAATTGGGCAATCTAGCACACTGCTGCTGAGTATTTCGCAACTCCAAACCATCTCCGTCCATATCATTAACATGACCTCCCACTACAGCCGTAGCAGCAATAGAGACAGCCGACTCGGCCAGTTTCTCTGGACTGTCTATCTGAGTGACGGGTCTGGTGTGGTATGTCTTCAACATGTTAACGTGGCACACACGAGATTGGCGTTTTCTATCAGGAGTCTGTATCACGTAGTCAGTTTCACTTAGTTTCTTTTCAATTACATAAGGACCAGAGAAACGTGCTGACAATGACGCTCCTGGCACCGGCAACAATACAAGAACTTGGTCACCTGGCTGCAGTGAACGAGAAACAGCCTGTGTGTCATAGTGTCGTTTCATCCGTTTCTGTGAGGAAGACAGCGCTTCCTTTGCTAGAGCACAGGCACCATGTAGGCGCTCACGAAAGTGACTAACGTAGTCCAACACATTTTCTTTCACACACAACTCTTGTGATAAAAACTGATCCTTAAGGACTTTCATAGGTCCTCTCATGGTGTGTCCAAACACCAGTTCAGCTGGGCTGAACCCTAAGGATTCCTGTACTGTCTCACGGACAGCAAACAACTAGAGGAACTCCCTCATCCCAATCCTTCTCAGATTCCAAGCAATATTTACGGAGCATAGACTTCAGTGTCTGATGCCAACGTTCAAGCGCACCCTGAGACTCTGGGTGATATGCGCTTGACACACGGTGTGTAACTGACAAGGATTTTAACACTTGTTTGAAAAGTTTAGAAAGGAAATTCGTACCCTGATCAGTTTGTGTCACCTTAGGTAACCCAAAAGTTGAGAAGAATTTGATCAACGCTTTACTCACCACCGGAGCAGTAATCCTTCGCAGAGGAATGGCCTCTGGGTACCTGGTGGCCACACACATAATCGTCAACATAAACTGGTTACCAGATTTTGTCTTTGGTAATGGTCCAACACAATCAACCATCACATGTTCGAATGGTTCACCTATGGCCAGTATGGGACAAAGAGGCGCGGGGGAAATAACCTGGTTCGGTTTCCCAGTTACTTGACAGGTGTGGCAAGTCCGACAGAACTGAGCCACATCTTGTTTTAAACCAGGCCAAAAGAAATGTCGCAAAACTCGATCATAAGTCTTGGTGACTCCCAGATGTCCGGACCACTGGTGATCATGAGCGAGGGATAAAACATTTTGTCGAAAGGCTGTAGGAATCACTATTTGGTAAACAGCA